CACACCACTGTGCACAGGCCTCAGCACTAACCTTGGCAGTTTCTTTGCTCCTGCGTTTGGCCTTTAAAGAGGAGTCCCATGTCAGGCTGTCCACAGTGCAGTCCGCCTCGTCTTCAGGCTCAGTGAGAGCCTTCCTGCATGAAGCCTCAAGCTTCTTGGTCACTTCTTTCTTTTGGATGGAACGCCTCTCGCAACTGAACGTCAGTTTTAAATACCCAGGGTCTAAGTTGCCTATGGCACCAAGGAAACAAACCAAGTTCCCCACCAAGGTGTGAAGGTGGGCGTATCTCAGATGACTAAATAAACCACTTGATATTTTGTCCCAAACTTTCACATTTACTACCAGATGTACATGCCCTTCAGCATAAATGACTACTGGACCTTATTTTATGTACTTGAGACTTGGGACTTGAGTGTTAAAATGTCTGTTGTTGCCCTGGCCGGTGTGGCTCAGCAGTTAGAGCATTGGCCTCGAACCAAAGGGGTTGTGGGTTCGATTCCCAGCGAAGGGCACGTACCTGGGTTGCAGGTTCGATCCCCAGCCCCTACTGGGGTGCATGCGGGAGGCAACCAATCAATGTGTCTCTCTCACATGGATGCTCCTCTCTCTCTGCCCCCCTTCCTCCCACTCTCTCTAAAAAAAAAAAAAAATCAATGGAAAAAATATCTTCAGGTGCAGATTAACAACAACAACAAAATGTCTGTTGATAAACACAGTCAAAGAACATGAGTAGACCACTGTCGTCCACACACGCATTTTCACATACCCCGTAGGTAAACATGCTTCTTAAAAGCTCACACAGGAACCAAAGTTTATATTGGCTTTTTATATCTTTAAGATCATGCCAGAAAAGTTAAATGAGAACATTCATTGCTAGCAAGAGCACAATGAAACTGGCTCCAACGCACATTTCTTAGCACAACGCCTGATAAATCCTCAATACTGGTTAACTCCATCCTTCTATACCTGCATAAGATAGTGGGTTTGCACCTCACTTTAAAGTACTGAGAGGCTAGGTGTCCCACAACACTTGATGGTGCTACCTCTTGCTGGCCTCCTTTCTCTACGATTCTCCCTGCCTCAGCGTGCTCAGCTCTCTGGATCCCAATCCTCCCACCCCAAGCGCCTTCTCAGCTCCAAAGCCCCAGAGATCAGCAGAGGCTCAGAGACCAGGGCTGCTGGAGAGCTCTTCTTCCGAGCCTGGCACCAGTAGGCCATCGTGATGTTTGGCCACAAAATCCGCACAATGACTCCTCCAAATACCTCCCTGCTTAAGGCCCCACAACCTAGCTTCCCACCCCACTCATTCTCGGAAGATTATAGCTCTCATATAACAGGAAACTAGCCCAATCGTTCTCTCTCTCTCTCACACACACACACCCTTCTCTGCCTTCCTACCCAACCTTCCCTCCATACTCAGAGGGCAAAAAGTTGTCCTGGTCCTGTATGGGGTAGGGGAGAACCCCCAGGGCCATGCTGACTCCATCAGGAACTATGGTTCATTCAAATACATTTCTAAATGTTTTCCTCTCTTGGCGTTGAGCAGCTGACATAAGCATCATGTTCCACATTGAGGAGTTGAGACTTTTCTTGCAGGTGTCAGGGAGCTAGTGAGGACATGGCATGCTCCCAATAGTCACTATCAAAATTAAAGAAAAGGGCGAGGGGACCCTATGAACAAGGACATGGCAGCAAAGTGGTCCTGCTGCTAACGAGCGTCCCTGGGACAGTATCGCAGGCTCAGAGAATACAGAAGCATTACCTTTAGGTGCAGAGCAAAATGGCACTGGGTCGTTGTAGTAATCGTTGGGGCAGATCAAATGATGTCTCTGGAGCAACTCGTTGTCCACACACCATCTGAAGACTGTCTTCACTACGTGGAAGGAAGGAGGACAGGTGTTTCAAGTCAGGCGGACGTTGAAGAAGCCACACCCAAACTTCCTTCACCCTCTGAGCCTAAACCATCTAAGAAAATTCTTTCTCAGAGCCCTGTGGTAATTCTGAGATTTGAGAAACAAATCAGCAAGTTTACGAGGCACTTACAAAGGACAGCCATTGGGCAAGGCTGTGTTGTGTACTATTTGAGCTAAAATATTGTTACAGAGAGGCCTGTAACAAAACAGCATCAAGAGAAGTATGGTAGATTAAATAAACGGCCACAATTCTTCAGTCGTCTCATATTCAGAGGTCCTTTGCCATGTAGCTTCTGCTACTATAGAGAGAGCACACTTCACTCTTGACTTTAGCCATGTGACTGATACGACTTGGGTAATGAGATGTTGGCAGGGGTTTGAAATGTGCTTGTACAGCTGAGCTTTTTCCCTCTTGAGCCTTTGCCATCATGATGAGAAGAGCTTCCCTGCTCCTGAGAAAAGCTCCTGCCCCTTCATCTTGGACCCCAGCATGAATCTACGTGGAGCAGACCTGAGGCCAACCTGCAGCAAGGAGCCAAGTTCTGCCAGACCCACAGCTTGAAGCTGGTCCAGCTGTCCAAGCCCAACCTAGATCATCCAACCCCCAAATGACCCATAGACACATGAGAGAGAAAATCTTATTTAATAGAGTGGGAAGTCAATGATTACTATTTATGGCTGATGAGCCAAGTAGTAGTAGTTAAGAGTAGTTAATATTTAGAAATGTCCAGAAGCTAGAAATGGCCATGTTAGCAAATGGACTGAGGTTGGGAGAGGTGAGGTGGAACATTTTTTTTCAATGGACTTTATGTTTAGAGAAGTTTTAGGTTCTCAGAAAACTGAGGAGAAGGTAGAGATTTCCCATGTACTCTTTACCCCCCTCCCCACATACATAACCTCCACATTATCAAAGTCCCCCGCCAAAGTGGTGCATACGTTATAACTGACACAATATTATCACCCAAAGTCCACAGCTCATATATGGTTCACTCTTGGTGCTGTACATGCTAAGGGTTTGGACAAATTTATAATGACATTCATGGGTGGAGGCTTTTTATATTTCACTAAAGCTTTCCTATTCGACTTTCTCAAACCATGTATATTAATACATTGATAAAAATTAAGGAATAAACAGGATGAATGGAAGATTTGGAAGTTTTCAAACTTTGTTGCTTGCTCTATTAACAAACATGGTGATTTAAAAAAAAAAAATCTTTATTGACTTCAGAGAGAGCAAGGGAGAGGGAGAGAGAGAGAGAAACATCAATGATGAGAGTCATTGATCGGCTGCCTCCTGTACACCCCCTACTGGGGATGGAGCCCACAACCCGGGCATGTGCCCTGACCGGGGATCGAACCTCGATCTCCTGGATCCTAGGTCGATGCTCAACTGCTGAGCCACGCCCAGCTGGGCCAACATGGTGATTTTAAATGGCCTCTCCTTTTGGAGGTTCCTATAACCAAGGGTATAGGAGAGACAAGTGAAGAAGACATGTTTTTCCTATCATATGTTAATTTGGGGATTTTGAGATTTGGCCTAGTTACTGTAATAGTCAGGGCTTGATGAGGAAAACAGAAATTACTCTACATATGTCATATATAAAGGGTTGGTTTGAATGCAGGGGGTTATGGAGTGGGAGAGAGAAAGCCAGGGAACTGTCATTAACAGATTCAGCCAGCAGCCCTGAGGCTGGGTTCTTGAGAAGTTATCTGGAAGCTGCTGTGAAATTCACAGCTGCCCAGTCATCGGTCTGCTACTGCTTCTTGAGAATAGTGGCTTCCCTTCCAAAACGCACCAAGGGCCTCTCATCAGTGGCCTATCCTGGAACCACCGGGGAAAGGTACATTCTAGAAGATGCACTCCCTAGGCTCTCCTTTGCAACACAGAACTCAGCAGGGAGCGGCAGCAATGTCAAGTTGACACAGCCTAGTCCAGCTCTCAAAGACTTTGGTGATGGCCTATTTGAAACATCACAAGATCAAACTTTCATACAAAGAGCAAAGGCCATGTGGGAAGGAAATGTACCCTCTTATCTGATACCATTCTCTCCGCAGTCATCCCCCGGGGTGTGGGTGGGTAGATGTTATGTCTGCAGATGCAGGGAGCAGTTTGCTTATCTGGTGTTTGGAAAGTCTCTCTCCATGTCAGGCCTGGACTATGTACCACGTGAGCCTTGGAAAACCCTGCACTTGCCTTGTGACCATCCTTGCCCACCTGGGAAGGGTGAGCTTCCTGCATTGACTCTATGCTCCTGACAATGGCTCCCTCTGCAGGGGGTTGGCTCACCCAGTCCACCAGAGATGATTTGGACAGTTTACCAGGAAGGGAAGGGAATGAAAGCACAAGATGTTCTGCAGAAATCTGATCTTTCTCCCTCTGTCTGGGAGACATTTATGTATGCTTTACACCCTGTGATGTCTGTATTAGCAAACAGAGGAAGGCTGCCTCTGTGCCTCAAGAAAAGTTTCAGGGAAATGTCCTCTCCATCAGTCATCTACATTAAAAGAGGTTCTTGGTTGCCCTGGCCAGTGTGACTCAGTGGTTAGAGTGTCATCCTGTACACCAAAAGGTTGTGGGTTTGATTCCCGGTCAGGGCACATACCTAGGTTGTGGGTTCAATACCTGGTTGGGGTGTGTTCAGGGAGTGGGGGTTGAGGGTAGGGGAAACTGAGCAATGTTTCTCTCTCACATCGATGCTCCCTTTCTCTGCCCCCTCTCTCCCCCTTTCTCTCTCTCTAAAGTGAATGAAAATACATCCTTAGGTCAAGATTAAAAAAAGATTCTTACATCACCTTGCCCCTGAGAAGGGACCAGAGGTGTGTCCAGGGAACTGGATTAAGGTCTCTACTTCTGCTACTTCTGAAATAAAAGAGAGAAGCATTACCAGCAGAAGGCTGAGAAACCAGAGCCGGAAATGTCTGATTATAACTTAATATTATCTTGAGCAAAAAGAAAAAAATTAAGGTCATTGAAAAAGTCTTATGACTGATGTTTGTTTCCTGGTTCTCAATATTTTATTACACTTTCATTAAAAACCCCCCACAACAACCAATTATTTAATCTCCCCTGATCTCTAGCCAAAAGAATCCCACCAAAGACAGGGACACAGGGACAGTGTCTGACTCCCAAGGCTCAGGGATATCAGGCAACTAATAAAACCTCCTGAGAATCTGCTACCAAAAATCTCTGCCTAAATCCATGGTTGTGCCTGGTGGGTGTGGCCCAGTTGGCTGAGGCCCGGTAGTCCCGTGCACCAGGACGTCACTGGTGCCATTCCCTGTCAGGGCACTTGCCTGAGCTGCAGCCGCAATCCCCAGTAGGGGGCCTGCAGGAGGCAGTGGATGGATGCTTCTCTCTCATTGATATTTCTATCTCTCTCTCCCTCTCCCCTTCTCTCTCTAAAATCAATAAAACATATTTAAGTAAATAAATAATTGCATGGCTGAGGGAAATATTCTGGCAGCTCCATGGCTCTGCTGTGTGTGGGGGGAGCAGGAGGAGATATGGAACCTGTGCTGAGTATCTACTATCTAATGGGACCTGAGCCTCAGAGGTGGCAGGCCTGGCAAAGGACAGGTCCTCATGCTCAGAGCCACACCCTAAGGGAAGTTCTCTAGCCTAGTGTGACACTGCGCCTGGTCAACGATCCCTCCTCCTCCTCCTGATAGAAGAAAGACATGGGCTCTGGCAGCAGACACACTCAAGTTCAACTCTGGGTCCCAGCCCTTCTGAGCTGTGGGGATTTAGGGAAGTTACTTGATTCTCTCTGAGTTTAGTTCCTACACCTATAAAATGGAGAGAAACCTACCTCACAGAATCACTGGACGGATTCATCTTAGGCAGCATCGGGTCCCTAAGAGCAGCCCGTAAGTGTAGTGCCTTTCTAAACCACTATATCTTTCACTTCTTCCTGCCTCTAGGCCACAGATATGTCAGCTCTCCCAACCCTAAGAGCCCTGTCCCTTCTGCCTACTGCACGGGAAAATAATGATTTTCAGGGACACAGGAAGATAGATCAAAGTTTTGGGGGAAAATACAAGGAACCAGGGCTTCTTAGAGAAATGGCTGATTCCAGGTCTGGGGCAATCAAAACACAAGATGAGCCTTCTGACCATTCCAGAAGGCAAGGAAGTCATCAAAGACGTGTTGTGTTCAAGAGTTAGGAGTCAACTCGAAAAGGCTCCAAGTGGTCAAAGATGGGACAGCTGGGGAGCATCAATAGGATAATAAATATAATTGTAGTTATGAAATCCATGAGTTCATAATGGTACTGAAAACAAACTAAATAAACCTCATTAGTCGTGTTTGAAAGATGCCAGGGGACCGACTCATTATTTTAAAAGCTGGCAAATAAGGGGAAAGAATTAATCCTGCTCATACCCTGGGGTAATCACAGTAGTTGCTGAAAAGTTTCTCTTTATGGAAGTATTCCAGTACCATTAGCATTTCATTATAATTTACAACCCCCAATGAAATAACAGATCCAGGCGAAGGCTGCCAGCATCATGAAAAGAGAGACATCAGACACCATGTACCTCCTACAGGAAGTACACAGCACCACCTATGAAGCAGTCTTGCCTGATACCCTCCAAAATGGAACCTAAACCTCATTAAGGCCCTAGAACAAATTACTGAGTTGCAGGAAATATGAAATCATAAGAACACGGTAAACATGCTGAAATCAGCCAAAGCAGACTGTGGACATGTCTATAGGAAAGATAGCACAATTCCTTTAACGAATACATTGATTAAAGAAAGTGTCACCATAGAGGTGGCCGACAGAGAAAGAGTTCTCAGTGAGTGCTGGGGGAGTGGTGATGGAGCTTTGATGAGGAACAGGATATTGGTAAAATCTGAGAATGCCTCTCTGCAAAATACTAATAAATTACAATTTAACTTGGAGAGTTTAACGTGGAGAACTCCCAGCAGACACCAACCTGACCAGGTGATCAAGATTAACATCACTTGTGCCTCCTGATGTGCCCCGGTGGGGAGAGCACAGCATAATTTACTTGGTGGTGCTGCCAAAAAGGAGTCTGGGTCTGGTCATGACAAACATTAGAACCATCCTGCAGAATGAGAGGCCTGCCAAGAACTGTCAAGAGAGGGGGCTCTGGGACAACATGGAGTAGGGAGCACCAAAAATCTGTCTCTCTGCCTGGACAACAGTTGCACTGGCAGAGCCTGTCTAATGTTAACTAACTTGGGACTCTGGAGTCTAAGGCTTATAACTTCAGGGAAAAACTTGGAACAGTAAATTGTGGTTAACTTCAGCTCCTAGCACCGTAGTACTTACCCAGCCCTGATCTCCAGTCCCAGAGCAGGCATCTGTGCTCATGTTTCTGGGGCAACCTGCATACAGTTTGTGGGAACCTGGGTGAACTAAAAGGACCCTGGTTCTCCAAAAATCCAGGATCTGTGCTCTGATTGCTGATTACTGCTTCTTATCACAGAGGTGCAGTCAACATCCCAGCGACAGAGAATAGAATGCTGGTTGCTAGGGGCTGTGGTAGGGGGATATAGGGAGTTATTGTTTAATAGGTATACAGTTTCAGTTTTACTAGATGAAAAGAGTTATGGAGATGCATGACAGTGGTGGTTATACATTAGAATGTATTTACCCCAACCACTGAACTGTACACTTAAAAATGGTAAGAAGGTAAATTTTACATTATGTGCATTTTACCACAATAAAAAAAAAATTGGAAAAAATAAGCTGTCAAGAACATGAAAGGCAGGAAAAGATCAGAGAACTGTTCCAAAGGAAAAGTCTAATAAAAGAGACGTGACAATTATATCCACCATGACTTCCTAGACAGGATCCTGGACCAGAGAGCAGAGAGAGCCAGTGTGGGCCAGCTGGTGAGATGTGAATGGGATCTGTGAACTGGAGGTTAATATTGCACCAATGCTGATTTCTTGGCTTGGAGGGTTGTGCGAGGGTTATGTAGGAGAGTGTCCCTGGTTTGGAGACACACACACTGGAGTGTTTTGTGGTAATGAAACATTACATCTGTAACTTGCTGTCCAAATGTTCAGATAAAGACCAGAAAGTGAGCAGTGGAGCAAATACAGTAATATACTCACAGCCGGGGAGTCAGAATGAAAGGCACACGGGAGTCCTTTGTACACACCTGGGGGCATCTTGATGAAGGGTTCGAGGACATTGACTCTGGCCTGGTGCATGCCCCGCTCTTTCTCCGCAAGGGCCCGTGCATTGGCCTGAATGATGTGTCTCTCCAACATTTCAAACTCATCCAACCGCTGCTTATACAGCTTCCGAATCTGGCAGGTGGATGACCAAATGCACAGACGTATGAGATCACATAGCTTTACTCAACCTCACCCCAGCATCAGGGCTTCCCACAAAGCATAGAACAGTCACAGAACTATGGAGACCATCGGGCCCAACCCGACATGTGTGAAAACTGAGGCCCGTGGAGGAAAATGACTTAAAGATTTCATAGGAGAGTCAGTAACAGAGGCAAGTTGGAAAATCCATCTCCTGACTTCACAGTAAAGAGAGCCGCCATCAAAACTCTGAAATACCAAATACAAGTTGGCACACCACCGTGGTGGACAAAGGGCTGTGCCAACCAGATCGCCCTTCAAAGGACTTGCTACTGAGCTGCAGGGAGCTTAGTGAGCACACAGCCTCCAGCTGCCAGCCCTGTGGAGTTGACCTCAGCTGCTCGAAAGCGCTCAGCTGAGCCCCCGTTACGAGCAGTGTGGTCAGCAGTCAGGCCCAGCAGAGAGGACTTAGGTTGGCTGCTTTTGGCCTTGCACAGATGAAGAAGTAGAGCTGCTGTTCCAGAGGCTGGGAATGCCTCCTAAAATCTGGGCATGAATACCCCGGTTAAGATTGTAGTTTGAGACACAAAGGCAGCACCCCAAGGGGGGGTGACTTTTAGTTTTATCTCCTGGGAACAATTATTCTATCTATCCCAGTCATTTTATTTATATATACGATACAGGCATACCTCACTTTATTGCAATTCGCCTTATTGCCCTTCACAGGTGTGTTTTTCACAAACTGAAGGCAAGGCCTTCGGCCAGCATAAAGATTAGCTCTCACTTTGTTGCATACTCGCTTTATTATGGTGATCTGGAGCCAAACCCGCAATACCTCCGAGGTATGTCTGTATGTAATGTGTACACGTGTGCAGAGAAATAAAGATGGGTGTTACAGATATAGGCCTTCTGTGGGTAGTATACGTGTATTTGTGTAAGTGTGTGTTTAGAGTGTCCTTCCACTAGAATGTGGGGAACACTGCGGCAGGGAATTAGCTCTTTCCAGCTGAGTCTCCGGTGCCTGGAACAGCGCCTGGAACAGCGCGGGCACCCGACAGGCGCTCACACGGGTGGAGCAGCGGAGTACTGCGGGAGCCCAGCTTTCTGGGGCGCGCCCTGGGTCCCCAGCGCTGTCCTCAGGCGCCCGGGGGAGCACCGCGAGGAACGGCGAGGGGGCCGCGGGGCCGCCTTACCTGCTGCAGCTCGTCCACGAACTCCTCGTGCAGCGCATCCTCGCTGCCGCGGGCCTTGATCAAGCTTGTGCTCACTTCGTCGCCGAACACCTCGGCCGTGTACAAATTGCGGAAGACCGCGGTGAGCAGGTGCGAGATCTCCTGGGTGCGCAGGGAGGTGGG